AAGAGAAATATTTTTATCATTAGATTAAAATGTAATTTGTGCAAATTTCATGATAGAATTAAAAATATATCTTAGCTAGTAGAAATAAATATGTTGATCAACTAAGTAAAAGGTTGATTGCAAAATTTTATAGTAAAAATAAAATATTTTTCAGTTTTTGACTCAGCAGAAAATGATAGCAATAATTACTACCAAGAAGAATACTTAAATACTTGAATACCAAATGGCCTTCTACCATACATATTTGTTGTCAAGTTTCTTATTTCTTACGTATGTTAGTGTCACCGTATATATAATAGACTAAGTTAAAATTGATCTTCCATTGTATATAAGTTAATTTTGAAGAAAAATATGCGTGTCATGCTACTGAAAAACTTAGATACGCCGAATAGCTTATGTAATAGCACACATATTGTATATAGAAGTTTTGACAATAATGCCATACATGCAAAAATTATGATACTGGTTAATGTGCTTCTAAGTATATTCTTATCACTGAATTCAACTTTCGTCTTCCGAAAATAAGGAATATCCTTTTAAATTTGTATGAAAATAATTTTTAATATGTTTATGTTTTGCAAATGTAATAAATAAAGTATAAGGACAAACATGACAACATTCATTTCCAAGAACGTTACATCTATTGCAGAATCTTCTATTTACTGCTGATATAGCTATTTCATGGGAAGAAGAGCTATTTCAAGAACAAATATAGTGAAACTAGCCTGATTTCATGTCATGACCTAAATACATAACCAGTCATGATGGCGCCTATCTGCTCGTCCTCCAGGACAGGGTTTAGCGAGGTGATGCTAGAGATATGACTATTGGTGATAATGGCGTTTTGAGGATTCAGGGGCGAATATGTGTGCCCAATGTGGATGGGCTTCGGGAGTTGATTCTCGAGGAGGCCCACATCTCGCGGTATTCCATTCATATGGGTGCCGCGAAGATGTACCAAGATTTGAGACAACACTATTGGTGGAGAAGGATGAAGAAGGATATAGTTGGGTTTGTGGCTCGATGTCTCAACTGTCAGCAGGTTAAGTATGAGCATTGGAGACCGGATGGCTTGCTTAAGAGGTTAGAGATCCCAGAGTGGACGTGGGAACGGATCACCATGGATTTCGTAGTTGGGCTCCCACGGACTTCGAGAAAGTTCGATGCTATTTGGGTGATTGTGGATCGGTTGACCAAGTCCGCGCACTTCATTCCAGTTGGTACTACTTATTCTTCAGAGCGATTGGTTGAGATTTACATCCGAGAGATTGTTCGCCTTCATGGTGTCTAGTTTCGATCATTTCTGATAGAGGCACACAGTTTATATTGCAGTTTTGGAGTTGAGCACATCCTTTCAGGTTGAGCACAGTTGAGCATAGTTTACATTGCGTACTCAGGTTGAGTTAAGCACAACCTTTCACCCTCAGATGAACGGATAGTCCGAGCGCACTATCCAGATATTGGAGGACATGTTACGCGCTTGTGTCATTGATTTTAGGGGTTCATGGGATCCATTTCTGCCGCTCGCGGAGTTTGCATATAACAACAGTTTTCAGTCGAGCATTTAGATGGCTCCATACGAGGTTTTATATGGGAGGCGGTGTAGATCTCCGATGGGATGGTTTGTGCCGGGTGAGGCTAGGCTCTTGGGTACATACTTGGTCTAGGATGCATTAGACAAGGTGAAATTGATTCAGGAGCGGCTTCGCACGGCGTAGTCTAGGCAGAAGAGCTATGCTGACAGGAAGGTCAGTGATGTGTCTTTCATGGTCGGGGAGAAGGTTCTGTTGAAGGTATCACCCATGAAGGGTGTTATGAGGTTTGGGAAGAGGGAAAAGTTGAGCCCTATGTTCATTGGGCTTTTTGAGGTACTTCAGAGGATCGGGGAGGTGGCTTACGAGCTTGCCTTGCCACCTAGCTTGTCGAGTGTACATCCAATATTTCATGTTTCTATGCTCTGGAAGTATATCGGTGATCCGTCCCATGTTTTGGATTTCAGCACGGTTTAGTTGGATGGTGATATGACTTATGATGTGGAGTCGGTGGCTATTTTGGAGCGGCAGGTTCGGAAGCTGAGGTCAAAGGATATAGCTTCAGTGAAGGTGCAGTGGAGAGGTTAGCCTGTGGAGGAGGCCACTTGGGAGACCGAGCGGGAGATGCGGAGCAGGTATCCACACCTATTTGAGACTCCAGGTATGTTTCTAGACCCGTTCGAGGACGAACATTTATTTAAGAGGGGGAGGATGTAACGAACCGGCCGGTCGTTTCGAGAGTTATAGCCCCGTTTCCCCTATTTATGCTTCTTTTGTGCTTTACAGCTGTATTATGTCTTACCGGGTTGGTTGGTTCGGGTCCGGAGTGGTTTTGGAGTGAATTGAGACACTTAGTCTCTTAATTGGAAGCTTAAGTTAGAAAATTCGACCGGATGTCGACTTATAGGAAAATGACCTCGGATTTGAATTTTTATGGTTCCGTTAGCTCTGTTAGGTGATTTTGGATTTAGGAGCGCATCCGGAATGTGATTTAGGTCCGTAGTAGAATTAGGCTTGAATTGGCGAAAGTTGAAATTTTGGCCATTTTGGCTGGCAGTGAAAATTTTGATATCGGGGTTGGATTGGATTTCCGAAAGTTTGAATAGGTTCGTGGTGTCAGTTTTGACTCGTGTGTAAAATTTAAGGTCAATCGGACGTGGTTTGGTAGATTTCGGCGTCGTTGTTAAATTCGAAAGTTTAGAAGTTCTTTAGGTTTGAATCCGGGTGTAATTTGGTATTTTGAGGGATTCAAAGGTTTGACTAAGTTCGTATCGGGTTATAGGACTTGTTGGTATAATTGGTTGAGGTTCCGGCGGCTTCGGGGCAATTTCGGGTGGTTAACGTCTTGATGGGAGTTGAGGAATTGCAGCTGAAGCTGCTGCTACTAGTGTAACCGCACATGCGGAGTGGGAACCACAGGTTCGAGCCCGCAGAAGTGAAATAGGAGCCGCATATGCGGCTAAGGAGGATCTGGGCAGAGGACTCAGGTGCGATGGCATTCCGGCACCTGCGATAGTCGCAGAAGTGGATTTAGCGGTGCAAGTGCGAGTTTGGACCGCATGTGCGATGTAGTTCCCGCACCCGCGTTGCCCGCAGATGCGGTCACTTGATCGTAGGAGCGGAGGCAGTATTTAGGGAATTTTCCGCAGAAGCGGGGCTTTGCCCGCAGATGTGAAAATGGAGCCGCAAGTGCGAGAAGTCTGGGCAGAACCTATAAATAGAACACTTCTAGATCTTTCACCATTTTCATCAATTTTGAGCTCGAATTTTGGGGATTTTGAGAGAGATTTCGGAATAATCACTGAGGTAAGTTCCTTGTGCCTATTTATATTCAATAATGGTGTTTCTCCACTGATTTTACACCTAGTTGGCGAGTGTTTGAGGTGAGATTTGGGAGATTAGGGCTTGGGAATTGGATAGTGAATTTTGGGGTTTTGGAGGGGCAATTCAGGTCGGATTTTGTTAAATTTGGTATGGTNGGGGGATTGAGCCGATTTTGAATTTTGGACTATATTTTAGTAGTTTCTTGTGGAATTGATCCTTTTAGACAATATTGATTATCTAGTACTGTTTGTGGCTAGATTCGGGGCATAACTTGGTTGTCAGATGCTCATGACTTAGTGACACCCCGATGTCGGGCTATCATTTTGCACTTGTGTTTTGGGTCCTTACCCCGTTATTATGTAAACCTTCAGTTAGTTTAATTGCTTTAGCTCACTTCTGTTATATATATTGAAAGCATATTGAGAATGTCGACTTGCCTAGTTCCACGATAGGCGCCATCACAACTGGTTAGGTATTTGGGTCATGACATTTCAGGACAGAAATATTGAAATCATATTTAGTTCGTCTAAGGCTACTTCCAAAGAGAGACTTGCATGAATTTGAATTCAAAAGTGAGGTTTGACTATACTAGAACAGAATCAAGAAACTCTAACGTGTTTTTTCGTCATTCGTCACCATCACCGTCGGCCGATCGTTGTCGTCAAAGTTATGCCCCATTTCACTTCTGGAAGTTTGCCGTTCAGTGAAAATATTCGCATACCTTCTCTTTTTTTCTCTCCATTGCCAAGCATTCTTGGCCCTTCTTTGATCCATCTGTCAAACAGAAACTTAAAGCAGAAAAATAGAGAATCTAGATACACATTCTTTTAAGTTTTTTATACATTCTTGGCCGACAATAACGGTTTGGAGGAGCAATCAATTTTCAGAAAGAACGAATTTGGTCGGTAAAAACTTGGTGGCTGAAGCGATTTACATTTTTCACGGAATTTTGGGTTTGCAATCCAGGTTCTATTATTCCTCTCTTGTCTTGATATTTTAATAGTTTGATATTTTAGCGTAATTGTATCTTCTTGCCTGCCTATATGTTCTTGAATCTTTAATTAGTATTTGCCCTAACATTTTCAATTAACTGTATTAGTAATAGCCTTGCCTACTTATTTATATTGTTATCTACCTGTTTAATTCTTTATTTTGAATCTTTATTTAATATATCCCCTAATAGTTCTACTCTAGTTTTGCACATTTTCTTTTTGACCTTTAGTTGTAGATTATAGTCCCATTTAGCTCTTTTATTGTATTTCTTCACCTGTTTTTCTGACCTTTAGTTGTAGATTATAATTCCCTTTAGTGCCTTTATTTTATTTCTTCACCAGTTTTTCTAACCTTTAGTTGTAGATTATAGTTCCCGTTTATTTTATTTCTTCACCTATTTTTCGACCTTTAGTGTAGATTATATTTTGGTTATTCATTTTATTTTTGTCGCTTGTTTTCGGGATAGGGCTTGTGTAGTGACTCTTAATTTATAGTGGCTTTGGTGAACAACGGTAGGGTAAGGTCTTATCCTCAGGGGTGTCATCAAGGGGGAGGGGGTGCAGGGGTAAGAAGGATAAGGGAGCTACTAGACTGAGAGTAGGGTCTTGTAACATAGGATTGTTGACTCGAAAATCTGTAGAGTTAGCAAAGATGCTTGAGAAAAAGAAGATTAATATAGCCTGTGTGAAGAAGACTAGGTGGGTAGGAGATAAGGCGCGAAATGTGGACAAGTTCAAACTATGGTATTCTGGGAGGGTGGGGGGAAGGAACCGGGTGGGTATATTGGTTGATAAGGACCTCCGTGAAGTAGTGGTGGAGGTTAGAAGGGTGAATGACAGGCTGATGAGTATTAAGCTAGTTGTTGGAGGTTTTACTTTGAACATAATCAGTGCGTACGCACCCCAAACAGGCTTGGATGAGGAAGTCAAAAGGCGTTTCTGGGAGGTTTGGATGAGATGGTGCGTGGTATCCCGCATACCGAGAAGCTTTTCATAGGAGGAAATTTCAACGGGCACATTGGAGAGACGTCTGGGGGAGTATGATAATGTGCATGGTGGCTTTGGTTTTGGAAATAAAAACGGAGGAGGAATGTCTCTGCTGGACTTTTCTAGAGCATTTGAGTTGGTGATAGCAAACTCGAGTTTTCCGAAGAAGAAGGAACACTTGGTCACCTTCCGGAGTTCGCTGGCCGAGACTCAGATTGATTATTTACTCTACAGGAAGTTCGATAGAGGTGTTTTAACGGATTGTAAGGTCATCTCGAGTGAGAACCTCTCGACCCTTCATAGGCTCCTGGTCATGAACCTTGAGATCACGAGGAAGAGGAGGAAGAGGGCGATGTATAGCCAAAATAAGATTAAGTGGGGAGCCTTGACGGAAGCTAAAGCGTAAGAGTTGGGGGTCAAGCTGCTGACTGTGGGGGTTTGGAGGAGTAGTGGGGATGCAAGCGCTATATGGACCACGGCTGCGCATTGCATTACGGAAGCCACCATAAAGGTATTAGGGGTCTCAAAGGGTTACTCTGGTGGTCACAAGGGAGACTGGTGGTGGAATGGAGAGGTGCAAGGAAAAGTGGAAACCAAGAAAGCGGTGTATCTGAAGCTAGTGAAAAATGTATACGAGGAAGAAAAGAGGGCAAATAGGTAGAAATATAAGTTGTCTAAGAAAGAGGCAAAGCTAGAAGTTACAGCGACCAAGACTGCAGCTTTTCGTCATTTGTATGAGGAACTCGAGGGCCGAGGTGGGGATAAGAGGTTGTTCAGGTTAGCCAAGGCGCGAGAAAGGAAGGCACATGACTTGGACCAAGTGAAGTGCATCAAGGACTAAGAAGGTAGAGTTTTGTTGGATGAGGGGCTTATCCGTCGTAGATGGCAAACCTGCTTTCATTGTCTCTTGAATGAGGAGGGGGGCATGAGCATTGTACTAGGTGATTTGGAACTCTGTGGGAGTTGTTGTGACTTTGGATATTTTACCTGAATTAGAGTTGATGAAGTGGAGGGGTCTATGCGTAAGATGAGCAGGGGCAAAGCGACCGGTCCAGATGAAATCCCGGTGGAGTTTTGGAAGAGTGCAGGCAAAGCAGGCTTGGAGTGGCTCACTAGGTTATTTAATGTCATTTTTAGAATGAAGAAGATGCCCGATGAATAAAGGTGGAGCATTATGGTTCATGTATACAAGAACAAGGGTGATATCCAAAATTGCAATAGTTATCGGAGTATCAAGTTGCTTAGCCATACTATGAAAGTCTAGGAGAGAGTGGTAGAGCTAAGGGTGAGGAGGAGTGTGTCTATTTTCGAGAACCAGATCGGGTTCATACCGAGGCGTTCGACTACAGAAGCCATCCATATTGTTAGGAGATTGATGGAGCAGTATAGGGAGAGGAAGAAGGACTTGCATATGGTGTTCGTCGACTTAGAAAAGATGTACGATAAAGTTTAGAGGAAAGTTTTGTTGAGATGTTTGGAGGCTAGAGGTGTACCTGTTGCCTACGTTAGGCTGATTAAGGACATGTATGATGGAGCAAAGACCCGAGTGAGGATGATGGGTGGGGACTCGGACCATTTTCCGATTATGATGGGGTAGCATCAGGGGTCGACACTCAACCCTTTTTTGTTTGCCCTGGCGATGGACGTACTGACGCGCCATNTGGGGTGGAGAGATTGATGAAGATGTCACACATCGTATTGGGGCGGGATGGATGAAATGGAGACTCGCTTCTGGTGTTTTGTGTGACAAGAAGGTGCCACCGAAACTTAAAGGTAAGTTCTACAGAATGGTGGTCAGACCGACGATGTTGTATGGGGTTGAGTGTTGGCCAGTCAAGAACGCTCATGCCCAGAAGATGAAGGTAACAGAGATGAGGATGTTGAGATGGATGTGCGGGCACACCAGGTTAGATAGGGTTAGAAATGAGGCTATTCGCGACAAGGTGGGTGTAGCCCCTATTGAGGACAAGATACGAAAAGTGTAACTTAGGTGGTTTGGTCATGTGAGGAGGAGGATCATAGACGCCCCGGTGAGGAGTTGTGAGAGGTTGACATTGGAGGGCCTACGGAGAGGTAGAGGTAGGCCAAAGAAGAGGTGTGGAGAGGTGATTAGGCAAGATATGGTGCAGCTTCAGCTGACCGAGGACATGACCCTTGATAGGAAGATATGGAGGTTGAAGATGAGGGTAGTAGAGTAGGTAGTCTAGAGTATTCATAACAATAGTATTGACACGCAGTCTCGCCTTCTGTTGGTAGTAGATTTTTATGACTAATCGTTTTTTTCTTTCATTTTTAATCACCTTACTATCTTGTTGTTTTAATTCTGCTTTTATATGGATTTTTTGGTGCTGTCCCTTCTTGTCTATATTTTCATTAATGTGGTGCTTATGATTTCTTGAGCCGAGGGTCTATTAGAAACAACCTCTCTATCCTCACAAGGTAGGGGTAAGGTCTGCGTACACACTACCCTCCCCAGACCCCATGGGTATGTTGTTGTTGTATAAGGACAAACATCCTAAATATTGGACGATATTTACTGCAATATGTTTTCTTGCACGAACAACTGTATGTTGCACTTTCATGTCACGACCTAAACAAAAAACCCTCCGAATGAGTCATGATGGCACCTAGTCTCTAAAACTAGGTAAGCCTAACACATGCCGAAACGATAACAGGTCTTACTAAACAATTATTAATCATGAACCGGAAATTTCTAAATAAACTAATAGTCTCAACATGACATAATATCCCAAAATCGGTAGTACAAGTCATAAGCCTTTTTAGGAGTACATTTAAATAATGAATACATCACTGTTCTGGAATAGAAGGAAACAATGGAAATAAATACAATAGAGGATGACTTCGGAGCCTGCGAACGCCCGGCAGGTGTACCTTGAAGTCTCCAGCCACATCAAGCATAAGTCTAAAAAATCGACTCAATCCAAAGTACCTGGTTCTGCACAAAAAAATGTACAGAAGCGTAGCATGAGTATACCACGGTGGTACCCAGTAAGTATCAAGCCTAACCTCGGTAGAGTAGTAATGAGGCCAGATCAAGATACCCACTGAACATCTAAACCTATGCAGGATATGACATAAAGCTAACAAAGAAGGAATATAAAAGAAATGCCAATGGTAGACAGAAATTAGATTACAAACAGTAGTAACGATAAGGGAAACACGAATGGCAATGAAAAATAACCAAGTAATTAAACAACAACATAGTTGGGGTACGAATGAAGTATAAATGTGTCACGACCAAAAATCTCACCACAGGCGTGGTGATGGCACCTACTCTCTAAGACTAAGTAAGCCGATTTCCATTACATTTCGAAGCCATTTTTTAATAGAATCTGAATTAAATAGATAATCAAAACCAACATCGGAACAAATATGAATATAACAACCTCCCAAGACTGGTAGTACTGAGTCACGAACTCTAACTAAATACATGAAATGTTCTCAATGATCGAATACTCAATATTGTTTGACTAATAATTAAAAGTACAATAAAATGTAAAGACTTCAAGGGATTGCGACGACCAAGAAGCTCTACCTTGAATCCTTGCGATCACACTTTAACTCTGTCCGAGTCCGATAGCTCCAATAATACCTGGCTCTGCACAAAAATATACAGAAGTGTAGTATGAGTACACCACAGTCGGTACCCAGTAAGTATCAAGACTAACCTCAGTGGAGTAGAGACGAGGTACAATCAAGACACTCACTAGTCTAATAGTGTGTGCAATAAGATATACAAAATAATAGAAAACAAATAATAATAAGTGCAACAAGAACACCATTAATAACGCTCAACAATTTATAAATATAAGTATACCCAATTAAATCAAGTATTTCAAATAAATATCTTTCACATGTAATTCTTCCGAATAAATCTCTTTCAAATATAATTCCTTCAAATAAATATCTTTCAAATATACTTCCTTTAAATAAATCTCTCTCAAATATAATTTCTTCAAATAAATACCTTTCGAATGTAATTCTTTCAATTAAATCTTTTTGAATAAAAATCCTTCCAAATAAATATTTTGAATATAATTCTTTCAATTACAGAGTCACCATGTGACAATTCATTTCATAATCATACAACTACGGGTCACAACCCATTTTCATATTTTTCATAAACACGGGTCTCAGCCCACTTTCATATTTTTACGGCACTTCGTGCCTATAATTAAATCATCATATTTTTCCGGCACCTCGTGCCCTCATTTCGTATCACAACTGCACGGACAATTCACGTGCCAATATCATCATTATTTACTCAAGACACCTCGTGCCCACATTTCATATCATAATTCGCCTGGCAATGTCCACATAACCCAATTTCAACATAAATCAGATTATTACCAATTTACCAACAATAAGACCAATTGCACAAGTTATTAAAATAAACACAATAAAAATCACAACATCATATAAAAATTTTCAACGCAAAATCCCACATAATCACATATCATCCCTGATAATAGCCACCCTTATCTCTCCTATAGCCACCCTTATCACTCCTATAATAGCCTCCCTTATCCCTCCGCCCTGACAGTATCAATAGCCACTCTTATCGCTCCTATAGCCACCCTTATCGCTCCGCCCAGACAATACCCCAACACACACAACAACAGTGAAATGCCTCCCTTATGCCCACATAATATCAACAGTGAGATGCCACCCTTATATCCTTAAAATGATAACTCAATTAAAACAAAAATTTATACTGAATATTATCACGGCAAAGTAACAAAAATCAATTCATATCACAATTTGCCTAATGGCCACAACCAATTCCAAGGATATAACAAAATCAATTAATTTCACAACAAATAGCCCAAGGCTACACATAATATATATAAAACCTCAAAAATAATCAACAGAGATAGAAAAATAATCAACATAGGGCACTCCTTCATTAATTCAAGTTTAGATAATTATATTAACACTTCTTCTTAAGCTTGCTTAATTAATTATTTACATAGGAAAAATTCATAATGAAATTAAATTCCAAGAAATATCAAACCATCAAACTCACGGAAATCACATAATTATACAAGTAATAATTACATCGAATTGTCATATAAAAACAAGTTCAATAATTATGATTTGAGGCATGGCAATTAGATGATTAAATATATATCAATAATTATCCAATTTACTACACAATATGCCTAAGACTTTAACTCAATAATTTTTTCACATATAAGCCTGAGTATGTCTTGTCACCTCGCGTACACGGCTTTTCACATTTCACAAATGACACATAAGACTCGATACCTAAGAGGTAATCCCCCCACTCTAGGTTAAGCAAGACACTTACCTTTTTGAAGTTAGGCCGATATTCCAAAATAGCCTTCTTGCTTGAATTAACCTCCGGACAACTCAAATCTATCC